TCATATAAGATGCAAAAAAATTATGAAATCATTTCAAGAAATCATAATAATAACAAAAAGAGAAGACAGATATAGAAACGTAGTAGTTATACACAATAGTAGGGTCACACAATAAATTATAACTGATCATAATAGTTGGATTCTACTTGGGTAGAGTTCTCAATTACGTTACAATGAACTTATCTCGCAACTAGAAAAAATATGTAACTTCGTTAGGTAATATTACAGAACATTTCGGTTGGCACTTTTATTTAATATAAGGATCTGATTATAATATATAAATACACACCTTTATTTTTAATTCCTTTTTCTTTTAAATACGCGTGTATAAAAACTATCTAATTCTGTTTGTATGAGACTGTGGAGGTCTATATCCTCCCTAATATTTGTAACAATGAAAGAAAAATATAACAACATCCTTATCCTAAATAAAAGGATTGATTTATACACAGGTATATGTATTCATTCTATTCTAATGCTTTGGCCGAAATAGCAATACTTAAAAAGCAATTATTAAGGTTTTCCATTGATTTAAGCAGAATGAAGTTATAAAATTTATATTTATAATACACTTTACAGATTCGTAATACCATTAACTTAAGGTGCATATTACATGACCGACTGGTATATATAACAATTGACAGGTAGCTTCTGCATATAGTAACGACGACGTAGACATACTGTATTTATTCAAGGTTTTATCCTATCTTTTAGCCGTCGGACGTATTCGTTCCTTTTCAGTATCCCTATCGTCAGCTACTGTCCATTCAGGATCATTTGGATCCTCACCTTCTATATCACAACAAGCTGATTCCGTTGAATCTGACTCTGGACAATCCAACTCCCCGTCCTAGAAACGAAATATTAATGTCTAGCTGAGTGGTTATAAACGGACTATTTTTTCCAACGGTTACTCTGCGTATTATATAAATATATATATCGAGGACAATAACAAAATCAAATTAAAGAAAGTCATAGGTAAGAAATATTTTTTGTTTAAAACACCACAATATTGACACAATAATTATTATCAACGACGAAAATATTGTTTTGGATGCATTCGACCAATCAATTTTCGGCTTGAAAAACACAGTAAAAGGATGAAACATTACCTATGTTGGTAGCGTATGCAAAGAAATAAAATAAAGTTCTCTTCATCAATAATGGTTATTGGTAACGAAAAAGATTTGTAGTCATTTGTAAACATTGTTTGTAACCAAAACTTTAATCGTGTGGTTTTTTTGAAAATTTTTCTTAACATTTTATGATTAATAGTCTTAATAATATTTTTTGGTATATTGTTATTATTAGTCCCCGAGACATATATTTAAGAAAATACTATATTTATGTTAACAAGCTTATAACAACCGAGAAGAAAATAAACAGCGGGCTAGTTCATTAAAAGATTCTAATATGCTTATAAAAAGATAAAGATTACGTAAAACGCAATGCAATGTCTTTTAAATATCACTAATATCTGAAATATATATATGCAATAAAATAAAATGAATTGTGTTTAAAAGTAGGAAGCATCATGTGGCACTGCTTACCAGGGACAGCCTTGAGGAGCCATGAAAGTTGGCTCAAAGTTTATATTAATAATCAGTACGAGCACATATTTGTTTTGTAATAAAAAATTCTGACTTAGATATAATTAATACTGAAAACACTCAATACAAGCACAAATTACGTACATCATCTGCTTTTTCTTCTTCTCGAGAGCATAGAGATGCTGATGAAGCTTGCCAATGCCCATCTGGCATTACTTCCAGCATTTTGTCATAAACTTCTTCGGATAATGGAAATATCCTTGGTTCATATGGCAAAATCTGTTTAAAAACATTAAATAATTCTCTTTAGAATATTGTAATTCTACGTATATAAAGATTTTGGGAATCTGAAAAATTTTAATAAGCATTTCAAATATGCATCTTCTCCTTGAATTTCCAAAAGTTTTTTTCAAAATAAACTAATTTAAATTTGTTATTAGATTATTATTAATTATTTAGGTTAATTTTAAGATGTATTAACCGATAGTCAATTTTTTACAATATAATTTTATTAGATAAGAACCTATAGAGAAGCATTTTCCGAAAAATGTTTAGTAACAGAGACAACGTTTGAAAAACTCGATTTCAAGTTAAAATATTAACAGTTAAATGTGTT